TAAATGAAGAGATAACAGGTGGATTCAGGTAATAAAATTAGATGGCAAATTAATAAAGTAAATAAAATGGGTAATAAATCCACAGGAGAGGCCCGCTGTAGGGAAGTAATATGTGTAGGAAGTAAGAAACTCATGCATCATGATTTTGACCCCAAATTAAATGAGAGGTATAACAAACATTGATTAAACTATTAAATTACCCATTTCCGCTTACCTTTCTTTAGCATGATTTAAATGCTCCTGGGCTTTAAAAAGAGGCAACCCAGTGACGTGGCCACCAATATTTTCTGTTTGCTTGCAGTAAATTTCCATGTAGGAAGACAAGGTACTATTGAACACTTCATCAACTGAATCTTAAAATAGCAAGGGTTTCATAAATGAGTGTTATTGTTGATTAAGGGACTTTGTCAATTATTTCTTAGAACGAGGCCTGATGATTTTCCTTTGAAAAGTATAAAAATATCAAATACCTGGGGGATAATCTTAGCAGAAATATTCTGTTTAATATGAAGAAAAGCATAAGTGAAATGACAAATACTTCATGTTTTTTGGTAATGTCTTAAGAGATATGAATTATGCTAATTTTTTTTTCAAAATAAATAATAGAATTCTAACTATTGCTTATATAAGTTATTATGGGACTTTACAATATACAAAATTGTTCTGAGAGAAAAAAATGAAACTGGTCCCATAGTTTTGACCAGAATCCTAGTGGCAGAGAAGTCTTGAGTTATTGCGAGTTACAATGTATTGCCTACCCCAATCCATTAGTAGGGCTATTGTAACAAATCAGAAAAAATATGGAGTGTGGAGAGGATGTGGAGAAATTAGAACCCTGTGCACTGGTTGGGATTGCCAAAATGGGCAGTGCTGTGGAATACAGTATAGCAGTTCTAAAAAAAACCACTTTCTTTATTATTATCAAATTTACAGTATAAAGTAGAATATTTTCAACTCCCATTTTTTTTATAGTGGGAAGCTGGGGGAGGTGTCAGACTGACAAAAAATAGAATAGTTCAAACAGACGAATGTTTTTCCAGAGATCTTCTCCTCTTCCTCCTCCTCTCTCTCTTCTAACTGGGGATTTGATTTTAGGGCTTTGTGCTTGATAGTTAGTGCTCCACACTTGAATCACAGCCTCTAAGCCCTTTTGCTTTAGTTTATTTTCCAGTAGGGTCCCTTCACTTTTGTCTGGGTTGGCCTAAGACTGGTGATCCTCCTACCTAATGTCTCCCCACATAATTGGGATTATAGCAATGTGTCACCAATGCCCAGTTTGTTCTTTGCTTGCTAACATTTTTTGCTTGGCGCTGACCTTGTACTGTGATCTCCTACTTCTGCCTCCATAGTAGTGGGATTACAATATGAGCCACCTGCCTGGCTCTTCTTTCTTTAAAAAAATACATGATAGCCATTAATCTTTGATCCAGCAATTCCATTTCTGGTATATACATTTAATTAAAAGGTAGGGATTTGGACGGAGTGTGGGCTCAAGTGGTAGAGTGCCTGCTTTTCCAGTGTAGAAGCCATGAGTTTTCAAACCCCTAGTCCCCACCAAAAACAAGAAAAAAAAGAATTAGATTTAGAGATAGATTTGTAATAAGAATAAAAAATTAATAACAATTCAAACTGCTGAAAGTAGGGATTTGAACAGATATTTGCAACACCGATGTTTATAAGCAGCACTTCAAATAGTTGAAAGTTGGAAATAACGTCAAATGTCTGTCAATAAATGGGAGCTAAAACAAAATTGGTATAGGCCTACAATAGAACATTTTCAGTCTTAAAAAAGGAAGACAAGATGGGTTTGATGGCACATACTTGTAAATCTCAGGATTCAGAAGGCTAAGGCAGGCTTGTGATTCAAGCTAAGCCTGGGCTCATGTTGTAAGACCCTGTCTCAAGGAAAAAAAAAAGGAAGAACATTTGTATATGTGGTCTACATGGGTGACCTATGCACAAATATTGTGTGACCTCAAACATAATACCTTATGTTGGGTACTTAGAGTTACCAAACCTGCATAGACAGAGAGTTAAATGGTGGTTTCCAGGAGTTAAGAGGAGAATGGAGAGTTACTGTTTAATGGGTACAGTAATCTCAGCTTGGAAGATGGAAAAGTGTCCCAAGAGATGGTTGGTTGTGATGGTTGTAGCAAACAATGGAAATATGCTAATGCTGTTGAAAGCCCATTTAAAAAGTAATCGATAATGGTAAATTTGTATAATATATTTTACCCTCAATTAAAAAGTTCACAAATTTCTGCATTAAACAGAGTTTAGGTAAAGTAGCAGAGTAGTTGCTCGGAACTGGTACTTAGTTTTAACATAGTCACACAGTCAGGAAAGGGACTCTGTTGTGTTAATGGATTTAATTCTGATATAAATAGCCATCATAAAATAAATATGGAGAAAAGTAAGAATTATTTAATGAATACTGGACCATTAGTGAGGTATTTTGGGCAAAAATACATACTTAAGTTTTTACAGTAATCTAAAATGCTAAGTGGATCAAAAGATGTTCAAATAAAATGAATTATAAGCCTGCAGGAAAGGATGTGGAGAATTTGTTGGGAATATATCTTTGGAATAGGAGAAGACTTCCTACACACAAAATAACAGTATTACAAGGAAACATTTGAATAGTTTTAATGCATATGAATATTTCTGACTATCAAAACTATCAAGTGAAAGTAAAAAGGCGTTATAAACTAGGAAAAAATATTTCATAGACAAAAAAGCTTATTAAACATTATGTCTATAAATAGTTTAATATCAAAATAGACAATTAAAAGAAGGAACGGCAAGAGTCAGTACTAGTGTCAACCTGTGGGTAGAAATCTAAAATTTGAGATTTTTTGACCCATATCTGTGAAAAAAACTTAATCAAATGTGTCTCCGGGCATGAGGCTGAGGGAGGTGGGCCACCTTCATTCCAAGCTGGTAATAGAGAAACAAATTTTGAACAGCTTTTATGGAAAGCTAATGGAACTTTGGTTGTGATAGAATCTAAGCTAAGTGACTTTAATCAAGAAGGATTAAAGATTTTTTTTGAACTTATGCATCAAAGGACTTAGTTGGCTTCAATGCAAATTGATCTAGGGTTCCAGGTGACTCAATTCTGTGACTGCCTCTGGTCTCTGCTCTCCTTGTTTGCTTGTCTCTGTATGGCTTTAGTCCTCAGACAGGCCTCTACATGGTGAATGCCTCACTGCTGCCTGACTCATGTTTA